AAAGGTTCCGAGTGATTCGGGTATTTATCAGAGTACCAGAGAGTTATGGGAATTCGTCGGGGAGTATATGGGCCTTATTGGGCTTTAAGGGAGAAAGAGAGAGGCATGCCGCGTGCCCCCCAAGGCCTAGTCCGAATTGGACTATGGGGAGGGGCGACGCCCCTTCCTTCCTTCTCTTCTCTCTTCCCTTTCCTTGACTCCTACTCCTACTACATGGATGGGGAGGATCCTACTCCCGGTGGGAGTATGACTCCCCAGGGCGCGCCATAGAGAGGGTCGGCCCCTCCCCTCCTCCACTCCTTTATATACGGGGAGGAGGGGCACCCCATAGACACACAAGTTGATCATTGATCTTTAGCCGTGTGCGGTGCCCCCTCCACCATAATCCACCTCGGTCATATCGTAGCCGTGCTTAGGCGAAGCCCTGCGTCGGTAGCTTCATCAACACCGTCATCACGCCGTCGTGCTGACGGAACTCTCCCTCGAAGCTCTAGTGGATCGTGAGTTCATGGGACGTCACCGAGCTGAACGTGTGCAGATCACGGAGGTGCCGTACATTCGGTACTTGGATCGGTCGATCGTGAAGACGTACGACTACATCAACCGCGTTGTCATAATGATTCCGCTTACGGTCTACGAGGGTACGTGGACGACACTCTCCCCTCTCGTTGCTATGCATCACCATGATCTTGCGTGTGCGTAGGATTTTTTTGAAATTACTGCGTTCCCCAACAGGAGCGCGCTTCCACAGGCAGTTTAGGCTCAAAATTGATGTCATCCACCTCTGTGACCACTAATCTAGTTGTGAGGAGCTGGTTTAGGCGTCGACATCTCCTCTTCGCTTTCGGTTCTATGGCTTTTCCAGTCTTGGTGCCGGTCTCAATGTCGGTCCCGGATGAGACAGGTGGGCCCAGCAACAACAAACGCTGATCCTTGGCAAGGCTCAAATATTCGTTTGCCACCAGGTAGACGTCATCGCAATCACCAGAACCCTGTCCTTCATCGTCGCTAGCCATGTTTCCTACCATTAAATCTAGTCAATTAATTCTAGACCTGATAAAATGAATAATGACATAAAAAAGGCATATGTTTTGGAGGAACGTTGATTCCTTCCCGGTGCGGCAAATCCCAAGCACTCGATATGTCCTAGTTTGTAGCACAAGTCATCCCGAAATTCAGGGAAAATTTCGGCATGACCTTTGCTAAAAAGTGGACAAATTGAGGACCTGAAATTTGCCGAAACGGGAATGAATCAACATTCCGGCAAAACATAGGCCACTCGGCTTCATTCCCTAGAAACAACAAAAGGACACTTGGCACAATCGAACCACTTCAATGAAAAGATATAATATGACCACTTCAATGAAAAGATATAATCAACAATAAAAGTCTAGGAAGGGATCATCTTTAAAATAAAACTTGCCTAAATTTTTTTCCTTGAAAAATAGTGGTCTTTCCAAAAATCAAAAACCTTTGCAAAATGACCTCACTAAACACTTCTCTGCTAGGACAGAATCCAAATTATGTTGATCTAACTATTCCTCTCTCTCTCACACACACACACACATTATTTTCTCTAACCCTTCTCTACATAGGACAGAACCCAATTAAATTGTAAAGGAACTCCATTTCTCTAACCCTTCTGACCTAATGCTCTAAAATAAATTTTTGCTTTAACCTAGCCAACCTACTTAACCTAGCTTGTTAACCTAACGAACCTAATTAACCTAGCTATTTAACCTAGTTAGATAACCTAGTTTACCTAGATAATTAACCTAATTAAACTAGTTAACCTGCTAGTTCTCTGTCAAAGCCCTAAATAAATTTTTGCACTAACCTAGACAATTAACCTAATTAAACTAGTTAACCTAACTAGTTCTCTGTCAAAGCCCTAACTAAAATTTTGCACTAACCTAGATAATTAACCTAATTAAACTAGTTAACCTAACTAGTCCTCTGTCAAAGCCCTAACTAAATTTTTGCACTAACCTAGATAATTAACCTAATTAAACTAGTTAACCTAGCTAGCTAGTTCTCTGTCCAGTGTTTGTGCTATGCATGAGAGAGAGAGAGGAGGGGTGGGGGCTTACAGAGGATGGCTCTGGTGATGGCGAGGGAGGCAGGGGCGTCTCCGGTGACGGTGAGGGAGGCAGTTGTGGCGAGGGAGGATCCGGTGGCGTCGACGGCGGCTCCGGTGGCGTTGATGAGGCCGCGTGGCTCCGGTGGCGTTGGGGGCGGCTCCGGTGGCGTCCACGGCCCACGGCTCTGGTGGCTCCGGGGGCGTCGACGTTGGCAGGAGACGGCGATGAAGTGGGGCGACGGCGAATTGGGGAGACGGTGGTGAAGTGGGGCGAGGGATGGGAAGAAGTGGTGGCCGGCGGGAAACCGTTTTTGGGTTAAGTCAAACTTAGCAGTAGTGCATTTTGCAAAATGCGCTATAGCAAAGATAGCTATAGCGATTTTAACGAAATGCGCTACTGCTATAGCTATGTAATTTCCTTTTATTTTCTTATTTCCTTTTCTGTTTCTATAGCGGGGGTCTAAAAAATGCGTTGCTGCTATATTATCTATAGCGCCTCTTATGAACAGACGCTACTGCTATGCCTTTCTCCTTTTTTCCCTTTTTATTTATTTTTTTTACATTTTTTTCCTTTCTCCTTTTTCTATTTCTTTCATTTTCATTTGTTTTTATATTTATTTTTCATTTCATTTTATTTTCATTAGCAGTAGCGCTTTTCATAGGAAACGTGCTGCTACATAGATCCTAGCGGTAGCATGCTTTTTACAAGACTGCTACTACTATGTGTAGTCTATCGGTTTAGTAATGAAAATATTAGTAGTAGCATTTTTACAGGAGCACGCGCTACTGCTACGTTTTTATCTGTAGCGCCCTTTTTCAGCACGCGCTACTGCTATCTAGCACTAGCGCCCTTTTTTAACGCGCGCTACTACTAAAGTTCTGTGTATAAGTTTTTTCTTAGTAGTGACAAATTAACCAACATGTAGGCAAGGAACATTTTTGCAGTGGTGACCACATGTATTATATTTGTGCTACGATGTTGCATTTGGCATTTTATGTTTTGACAGGTGATGAGACCGCACAAGACTGAAGTATTTTTATAAGCTTGTTGTTGCAAGTTGATTTGAGAAATCATTGACCAGTCAAAATCATGAACCAAATTTAAAATTTAACACCTTACTTGAATGAGAGAGCTCTTTGAGAAATTATTGACCAAATCAAAAATTGTAAACTCAATCTAGAATCATATTGGTACTGCGGTGTCGCATTTTGGCACTTTATTTTTTGTCAGTTGATGAGTGCATTGCGAGACTGATATATTTTTATAAGCTTGTTGTTGTTGATTGATTTAAATACCATTAAACTGTCAAAATCATGAACCACATATAAAATTGATCACCTTACTTGAATGAGAGAGCTCTTTATTTTTTTTACCAAGTTAAAATTGAGAACCAAATCCAAAAACAATTTTCTCGGTTGAATGAGAGGTATCCACCCCCTAGGGAGCTTAGTGATACTCCCTCCATTCCTTTTATGTAATGTGTATAATTTCCGTCACGGTGACCAAGGCACATAATTCTAAGTTAGGGCAAAATTAACCTAGGCTAAATCATTGATGCTAGGCAAGTAAATCATTTAGGCTAGAAAAGTAAGAGATGCACGCAATCGGGAGAGAGATAATTTCTTTTTTTTTCTTCTTTACAAGGATACATGCAATCGGAGAGAGATACTTTCTTTTTTCCTAAAGGGCTAAAAATAAAGTTTTGAGAAATTAGAAGAAATTCAACTTACATTGTGAGATTTTATCAAAAAAGCAAATACACCTTATATAAAGGAACAGAGGGAGTATATAGTAGATTAGTGAAGGGCACTAAATATGTTTTGTGCTAAACATGTTTAAGGTAAACACCAGAGTGAAGTATACTATTGGATAGATACGGTTGAATGGATGAGATTTGTTGGATAACTCATTTTCTTTATATTGATAATATATATATTTTTAGTCTATATTGATAATATAGATGGTACATGGGCCTTTTACAGCCACAGACCCCTGAGGCTGGTGCGACACGGGCCTACAAAGATGTTTGCCACCGGCCCAGCGGAGCAGCCCAAAACGCGGAAGCTCCGCCGCGGATCGCTCTTTACAGTCTAGTCCCCCCCTGCCTCTATCTATTTCACTCTCGTCCCTAGCGGCGAGGCGAAGGCGCAAAATAGGATTTGGGAATCTCCATTTCATTTTCGTCAGCCGCCAAGAATATTTCCCTCACTCACACGAGACAGATGCGCGAGGACTGACGCACCAGTAAAGTCCACTGCCTCTTCTGCCGCGCCGGTCTGCTCCCCGTCGGCTCCGCTCCAAGGTGAGTAATGGCATTTCTCGATCCCTTTCTGGTTGATTCATACGGCGGTCCTCTGCGACGCTTGCGGGCGCGGCGGCGGCTGGCTGTAGATTTGGGCGGCGGGACTTGACCGCAAGGTTGGACTTTTTAGGAGGAACTAATGGCAAGCAGGTTTGCCGATGCGTTTCTTCAAGAAGTGCGGCTCGGATTTGGTGCAGAGCCGCAGATGGGAGGGGAGGGGTTCCTTTTCTGCTGACCTTGTCCTGGGATTCGATTCCCATCTGCGAGAGTTCATCCTTTCCTCGAATGGTTTAGCCGATTCAGTGATAATGTGCTGTGTGATCCGAGAGTAGATTTAGATTTATTTTTTGTTATCTTAGTGTTGCGCTGTTCCTCTTGAAACTTAGGTATTGAAGTTGTATGTAAACGAATGGAAACTCTTCCTTCTTTTGGAAGTGGATATGACCTATTTTTCTTGGACTGATTTGATGCATAGGATGGGTTGAGTTTTAAGCTCGTAAAATGGTTTTCCACTGCCGAACTTGATACAAACTATGCTTATTTTTTGTTGTTGGATAAAAACTGATGCTACTGTCATCTTTTCTCTCTTCTGATGTGAGCAATGTATTGTGGTTTTAATGCAGGCTTCCTGCATGGGGAGCCGTTCTCGGCCCAGTGTAGCTAAGGAAACCATGGAACCAATTGATGAGGAAACAGAGAGTCCTAGCAGGGCAGCACAACTGAAATGCCCGGATGGAAACTCGGGTGAAATGCGCCTCAACCGGATCCCAAATTTTCATTGCAAGAGTCTTCCTTCAAGACGCCGCGAGGAAAACCCAGAAGATAGCATCATGCATAGTCGTGGTTCTATGTACCAGAGCTCCAGTGATGTCAGTAGACTAAGGAAACTCCAAGAGGGGAGGAGGAAATTAGGCTCTATATATGAAAGAGATGCGTTTATGTCATTTGGGACTGTCGATTCGTCCTCTCAGCCTAGCACAAGTGGAGCTTACTTGGTTGCGCAACGGAGCAGTTCATGCAAGTCGAGGTCTTCTATGAACATAACTCGTGGATTTAATCAAGATGCCAGGGAGCTTCTGGATATTTCATCGCGTGAGGTTCCCAGTGACAACTTGAGGCTTGGAAGGCCACGCAAGGACTGCAATTTGTTAAAAGATGATGTAAGAGACAGTTTCCCGGGGTTATCGCTCGAAGAAGACAATGCCACGTGTCCTGCCGCAAATGCTGCTCCTCATTTGCTAGAAAGCAGCAGCAGCAAAGGTGCAATGTCAAATTGCCAACCCCCTGTTGGTCTTCATCCTGATAGGAGTAACCATGGCAGAATAGATTCGGTGAGTAATCTCCCCAAGTCCTTGTCAGCTAAGGTGGGTGTTTTTGATGCTACATGTCCATCAGAAAGTGTTCATGGTGTTGATGGCAAGAAAAAAGCTCGATCTAGTGCATTTAAGAAAATTTTGGATCCTTTCATGAAGTCCAAATCTCTGAGGAATCCCTCCCACATGGTAATGGAAGATGCAAAATGTGGTAATCCACCAGTTAGAGGAAAAGATAGTGCACTGCGCAAATCTTTGTTGAGTGGTATCTCAAGATCTGAACAAACCCCCACATCTAAATGCCAGACAAGTGGGGAAGCCTGGCCTATGACAGTTACTTCATCGCCGACTCACTTGCATGCTGTTCTTAAACTGGATCCTGACAATGGTGCTTTTGGCTTTGAGTTCTGTACCAAGGGTCCAGAAGAATCCATTTACGCTAACACTTGGAAATCCGGAAACGAACTGAATTGGATTTACACTTTCCATAGTGTTGGCAAACGATCAAGTACCGTGGGAAGGACCTCCAAGGATAGGCATGGGTGGCTGCCTCCAATTGTTGGCCAGATGCATGTGTCTTCCTATCTGTATTCTGAAGTTGAAGAAGATGGTATTTTAAATAACTCAGCCACAAGCGAGTTTGTTTTGTATGACATTGCTCATGCACGACGGAGCTCTGCTGTTGATAGAGTTCAGTGTACCGATTCCACTCAACCACCATTCTGCAATGTTGTTAAGAATTCAATCTCTAGGGAGTCTCTGGAGAGAAATAATCAGATGGAGCGGCAAAATACTGCAAGGAATAACTCAGATGCATCGGTATCTTGTCTTTGGTCCCAAGAAGATCTTCATCCTCATTTGGAGGTTGCAGCTGTTGTAGTCCAAGTGCCATTTCATAAAACCCGGTCCCAAGAATTGAAAGCTGGATCATCACCTGGTACAGTCAAAGTGGTTACAGCAGGCGGAGCACACGGGTTACCAAGGGATGAGGAGACCAGTCCATCACCGTTACTTAACCGTCTAAAAAGCGGGGGAAGGTGTGACTGCGGTGGATGGGACATGTCTTGCCCAATTGTTGTCCTTGAAAATGCCTATGATAGTTCTTGGGTCGATTCTGTGATGAATGAAAGCAAGCATCCCATGGAGCTATTTGTTAAGGTACATTTTTTATGTTGAGACACATCACGTGTTTGATTATTACCGCCTGCGTGCATTTATCACAGTGACTAGTAATTAAATTGGGTCAAAATATGATTCCCCCCAACTTCATTAGCACACGGAAAAGAAATTTCCCTATATGATAATTGAAATGCATTGTTGTTTGGTTCCCACTTAAAAGCTATATCCCTGTTTTAGTTATACTTGCGATACTTAACAGTTGCACTAGTTAAAACTTCTTGACGAATGCACTAGGTAACATTATATTCAACTAAATGTAATATGTCATTTGTGTAATCCAACTGTTGAAGCAAACAACAATGCATTTCAACTAAATGTAGTATTTCAACAACAATGCACTAGTTAAAACTTTTTTTTTGATGAATGCACTAGTTAACATCATATTCAACTAAATGTAGTATTTCATTTGTGTACTCCAACTGTTGAAGCAGGGCAACCAAGAAGTTCTCCCTGCCCTTTCCATGAAAGTCAATGGGAAAGGAGATTTCTCAGTGGATTTCCATGCACGATTGTCGGCGCTGCAGGCATTCTCAGTCTGCATATCTTTGCTTCACTGTTCTGAAGCTTCTCCAGCCATTGGTATAGAGAAATTCAAGCACAAGCTGTATTCCAGTTCAATGAAAATGCTCCTCAAAGAAGAAGTGAAGCAGTTAATAGGATCAGTAACAGGGAAAGAGAAAAAGAAAGTGAAGAGGAGGAAGGGAAAAACTCCGGTGGTCAACGGCCCTCCCTTCTCACCCATGGGCAGAGTATAGCAGTATTTTTGCCATCATGTTCATCGTTCAGCATTGGGGTTGATCATGCTCTTTTTGTTTTGTAAGATCAAACGGGAATACTTTTTATCTTGTTTTTCTTTTTTCACAGGAGGGAAAGCTGTCTTGTCCATAAGGATAGAAGCATCACGCAGTTGTTCATAAAGATGCAAGCATCATGTAGTTTTTAGCAGTAGCCTTTTGTATTAGCAAGCTAGGATTAGGAAGGCCATAACAGCTGTTGCAATTCTCAAGAGAAGCAAGTTTTGTAGGACATACCTTCTTCCAGGCGTCAAGATAGATGCACCGGATCTTGACCACTGCTCTTGTATACAACATCGCTCTCCTTTTGGACTGCAGCCTCAAGGTCATATACACATGCTAACATTAGTACAGGTAGAAGCAAATATTGTTCCTTCAGCATGTACCTGAATAATCCATTGCTTCCCTCCAGCAATTTTGAACTTGATGCATGCTTTTGAACTACATGGAATTGGCAACATATATCATGACCAAACCGCGCATATGTAGTTTCAGTGTTCAGTTTCTGTATATTTGTTGGTGTCTTGGTGCATCTGCTGCAGGTTCAAGTTGTAGGTGCTTGCTGTTTTTTCCTTCTTTTTTACTGCTCCATATAGGCAGGAGCTTGCACAAATGCAGAAGATTGACACTTGTTCAGTCAATTCTTGGGTGCTGGCCAGCCATCCTAGGGTCATGCAGACAACCTGGACCCTGAGTAGATATGATCAAAGTTTTCAAGATTTTTAGCGTAGACATGTTGAATTTTGATCTCAGCCTGACTTTTCTTGTAAGCACAAGGAGGCTGAGCTGCCGAACTTGTGGCTTTGATGAGGTTGTATCTGCAAAATGTGGCTGTCATCTGCTCACCTGCATCTGCAGAGTGCAGGCAAAGATGGGTTATCAGCTGACAGGAGCAGGGTTTGGACCCATCCCTAGGCCATTTTCTGTGTGTATTCTGAGAGTGTCATGTGACTCAGATATCCACCGTGCTTCTTGCTGTTGCCACATTTACTAATTACTATTCACTTTGTTTTCATCTCATGTGGAGCTGGAATTACTCGCTCTAGCACAAAAAATAGTAGTCCAAAATCTAGAAGAGAATCTTATACTTTACTTTGAAAAAAACTTTTGGATCCCAGGCTCTAGTGAGCCGGATTTTTGGAGACAAATATTTCTAAAAAAAATTGACATGGATGTGTATATGCTTTTTTTCGCGGGCAATATACTTAAAAATTTTATATGGCTGGAAAAAAGGATTTTTTTTAACAAGGGCCACCCCTCCGATTTCCATTATGAGAAATCAACTAGTCTTGGTTAATACTCTCTCCATTTCATAATGTAGTGCGTTCATATTTTTTGAGATTTAATTTTAACCACAAATTTTACTAACATGGGCGACTGCGGCTGGAGCATGACAGATACCTTTGAATTCGTATTCGAAAGAAGTTTGCAAAGATATATTTTTTCAGTAAAATGATTTATGTATTATTAATCTTATTTATAATTAAAGTTGAATCTTAAAAAGTATGAGCACACTATTATGAAATGGAGGGAGTACTGCAAACTCCCCAAGCCAACATCATACAAAAAGCGCGAAGCGCCAACCCAGGGAGAAGGAGCATCACCTTCCTGACCATGTGCATGTTAGAGCATCTCCAGCCGCGTCCCAACAGGCCCTTCCCAGGCGTTTTTTCTGCGCTGACACCGAAAAATCGCCCCAGTCGCGCCCCCAGGAAGCCGAATTCCGCCGGCTTGGCCCGTTTTTGCGCCCGGCGATTGCAGGCCGAACCCGGCGCACTGGAGGGCGCTCGGGGGCTCCGGCGCAAGGGAAAAGCGTTCCTGGGGCCACATTGTCAGGCGAAAAGTCAAGCCACCCGTCCGGACTCACCTCCTACCCCCCGCACTCGGTTGCCACCCTGCCGATCCCAGCGCCGTCCACCGCCCACCGTAGTTAGGTAGACCATTTCCCGCCGGGAAAAAGAAGGGGTTTCGCCGAGCCAGCCTCTTCGCCGCCGTCCGGGCACCTTTTCCGGCGTTCCGGCTGCGCAGGGCCTATACACCGCCGGGCTTGCGCCCACCTCGCCCGCAAGGTGTTCGGTGAATTGCCCGGCCAGGCGATGGACTCCGAAGATGAGGAGGCGCTCGCGACGTTGCTAGAGGAGGAAGACGAAGCTGACGTCCAGGAGCAGAAGTGTTGGGGAACGTAGTAATTTCAATAAATTTCCTACGTACACGCAAGATCATGGTGATGGCATAGCAACGAGAGGGGAGAGTGTTGTCCACGTACCCTCGTAGACCGTAAGCGGAAGCGTTAGCACAACACGGTTGATGTAGTCGTATGTCTTCACGATCCGACCGATCCAAGCACCGAACGTACGACACCTCCGAGTTCAGCACACGTTCAGCTCGATGACGATCCCCGGGCTCCGATCCAGCAAAGCTTCGGGGATGAGTTCCGTCAGCACGACGGCGTGGTGACGATGATGATGCTCTACCGGCGCAGGGCTTCGCCTAAACTCCACGACGATATGACCGAGGTGGAATATGGTGGAAGGGGGCACCGCACAAGGCTAAGGAACGATTCGTAGATCAACTTATGTGTCTATGGGGTGCCCCCCGCCCCCGTATATAAAGGAGCCAGGGGGGAGGAGGCGGCCGGCCAAGGAGGGCGCGCCAAGGGGGGAGTCCTACTCCCACCGGGAGTAGGACTCCCTTCTTTCCTAGTTGGAATAGGAAAAGGGGGGAAAGAGGAGGAAGAGGGGAAGGAAAAGGGGGGGGGGGGCGCCGCCCCCCTTCCCTTGTCCTAATCGGACTAGGAAGGGGAGGGGCGCGCGGCCCCCTCCTGCCTCCTTCCCTCTTCTCCCTCGAGGCCCATGTAGGCCCAATAACCCCCCGGGGGGTTCCGGTAACCTCCCGGTACTCCGGTAAAATGCCGATTTCACCCGGAACGATTCCGATGTCCAAATATAGGCTTCCAATATATCGATCTTTATGTCTCGACCATTTCGAGACTCCTCGTTACGTCCGTGATCACATCCGGGACTCCGAACAAACTTCGGTACATCAAAACTTATAAACTCATAATAAAACTGTCATCGTAACGTTAAGCGTGCGGACCCTACGGGTTCGAGAACTATGTAGACATGACCTAGAACTATTCTCGGTCAATAACCAATAGCGGAACCTGGATGCCCATATTGGTTCCTACATATTCTACGAAGATCTTTATCGGTCAAACCGCATAACAACATACGTTGTTCCCTTTGTCATCGGTATGTTACTTGCCCGAGATTTGATCATCGGTATCCAATACCTAGTTGAATCTCGTTACCGGCAAGTCTCTTTACTCGTTCCGTAATGCATCATCCCGTAACCAACTCATTTGGTCACATTGCTTGCAAGGCTTATAATGATGTGCATTACCGAGAGGGCCCAGAGATACCTCTCCGACAATCGGAGTGACAAAACCTAATCTCGAAATACGCCAACTCAACATGTACCTTCGGAGACACCTGTAGTACTCCTTTATAATCACCCAGTTACATTGTGACGTTTGGTAGTACCCAAAGTGTTCCTCCGGTAAACGGGAGTTGCATAATTCTCATAGTTACAGGAACATGTATAAGTCATGAAGAAAGCAATAGCAATATACTAAACGATCAAGTGCTAGGCTAACGGAATGGGTCATGTCAATCACATCATTCTCCTAATGATGTGATCCCATTAATCAAATGACAACACATGTCTATGGTTAGGAAACATAATCATCTTTGATTAATGAGCTAGTCAAGTAGAGGCATACTAGTGACTATATGTTTGTCTATGTATTCACACATGTATCATGTTTCCGGTTAATACAATTCTAGCATGAATAATAAACATTTATCATGATATGAGGAAATAAATAATAACTTTATTATTGCCTCTAGGGCATATTTCCTTCAGTCTCCCACTTGCACTAGAGTCAATAATCTAGATTACATAGTAATGATTCTAACACCCATGGAGTCTTGGTGCTGATCATGTTTTGCTCGTGAGAGTGGCTTAGTCAACGGGTCTGCAACATTCAGATCTGTATGTATCTTGCAAATCTCTATGTCTCCCACTTGGACTTGGTCCCGAATGGAATTGAAGCGTCTCTTGATGTGCTTGGTCCTCTTGTGAAATCTGGATTCCTTTGCCAAGGCAATTGCACCAGTATTGTCACAGAAGATTTTCATTGGTCCCGATGCACTAGGTATGACACCTAGATCGGAAATGAACTCCTTCATCCAGACTCCTTCATTTGCTGCTTCCGAAGCAGTTATGTACTCCGCTTCACATGTAGATCCCGCCACGACGCTTTGTTTAGAACTGCACCAACTTATAGCTCCACCGTTTAATAAAAACACGTATCCGGTTTGCGATTTAGAATCGTCCGGATCAGTGTCAAAGCTTGCATCAACGTAACCATTTCCGACTAGCTCTTTGTCACCTCCATATACGAGAAACATATCCTTAGTCCTTTTCAGGTATTTCAGGATGTTCTTGACCGCTGTCCAGTGATCCACTCCTGGATTACTTTGGTACCTTCCCGCCAAGCTTATTGCTAAGCATACGTCAGGTCTGGTACACAGCATTGCATACATGATAGAGCCTATGGTTGAAGCATAGGGATATTCTTTCATTTTCTCTCTATCTTCTGCTGTGGTCGGGCATTGAGTCTGACTCAACTTCACACCTTGTAGTACGGGCAAGAACCCTTTCTTTGCCTGATCCATTTTGAACTTTTTCAAAATTTTATCAAGGTATGTGCTTTGTGAAAGTCCTATCAAGCGTCTTGATCTATCTCTATAGATCTTGATGCCCAATATGTAAGCAGCTCCACCGAGGTCTTTCATTGAAAAACTTTTATTCAAGTATCCCTTTATGCTATCCAGAAATTCTATATCATTTCCAATTAATAATATGTCATCTACATATAATATCAGAAATGCTACAAA